CTCACCATTCCTGGAGGTGTTCAAAAAACCTTTAGAAGTGGTACTTCGAGATATGGTTTAGTGGGCATGATGGTGTTGGGCAGAAGGTTGGACTTGATGATCTTTGAGGTCTCTTCCAACCGTAACGATTCTATGATTCTATTCTATGATTCTAATTTTGATGCATTCTAAAAAAGGTAAAGGTAAGAAGTTACCTTCTTTTTTAAATTTAAAAAAAGGTTGAAATTCACTTAAAGTTCCTAATGTAAAAAGTCTTCTGTGAAATCTTTCATCTCCCTTAACCTACACATTATGCTGTGCACACACTTCTTTACAAAGGTTGATTCGGCAAGTTCTAGTTTATTTGTTTTGATAATTGTTGTTCACACATGCATTCCTGAAGATATAAGCATTCTAAAAGCAGTTATTTACAAATGTCAAGTGTTGTCTGGCTTAAATTCTTTTGACTTGTGCTTTATTTATATAGAAGTTTAGTGGTAAGAAGCCAAGCTGCTGTAATGGAAAAATCTAACTCTGTAAAGTCAGGTAAAATTGATGCTCTATTTTCTCAGTTTCTGCATGGTTCACAACAGCTTCTCCCTTTCAGAAAGCTGCCAAACTGTGCAAGTTTTCTTCTCCTGTCATAACGGGCAGCGGGTAGACAGGGAATGTTACTTTTTCTTCGCAGGAAGCTGGTGCTCTATGACGGCTGCTTTACTTAAATTGTAGGTCTTTACACATCACAGAAACAGGGATCAGTCTCTTTCTCTTGCTCCAGAGACAATTAGGTAGCTTTTACAGCTCACCCACATGTTCTAGACAGAAAATATTTTAATATTGCTTTCTCTGAATCTTGCAGCATTCCTACTGAAAGACAACAGTCCCCATACCTTCCTATTTAATTCCCCTGAAATGATTCTACTACTCAGTGCAAGTAGTAAAGTCTGGAACAGAGTTTATGGCTCTAAAAAGCAGCTCAGATTTGAACTGTTAATAGCTTAGAAGGTCAGAACCGGCAGCAGAAGCATTTGAAACATTTGAAATGTCAGCAGCCTAAGCTATTACAGTGGCAGGCAAATACATTCTGCACCAGTGCGAACTTCTGCACTGCTTTTGTACTGTTATCATATGCATATATATACACAATATTTTAATCAAAAGCTGACAAACACAGACATTCTCGCTCCTGGACAACTACAAGTCCTCTACTAAGCCAAAAATGACTGGACAAAGGTTTTGTCTTAAAAACAGCTATGCATCCAACATCAGCTAGTGTTACTGGTGACCAAATTTAGTATTCACCCTCTGCATTTAGTGTTTCCAGAGTCAGATACAATATTAACATTTTGGATTTTTTATTTTTTTAAGTTTAAAAATATAGTATCAGAAATAATATCATTTTGTAAATAAAATCAGCTGAATCATTAGAAAAATCAGTGTCTAGCACCTGGTTCAAAATGGACACCAAATATAGCCTGATATATTTATACACTTGAGAGATTTTAAGGTTTCCAATGCTGATCCCTCAACCGTTATCCAAAATAACACAGTGCAAAAATGAATAATGCGAATGCTGGACTCAAGCAATCATGGCAACTTCAACATCAAAAAACTGAAGCTAAATAATTTTAGGTGGAAACTAAAGAGGTTTTTATTTTTAAAATAAGATATGGATTTGTTAGCTGAAATAAAAAGGTAACTTTAAGTCTCAGCTAGCGTTTTATTTTGTCTATATGCATGTCTAGCATAGGGAATACTAATCCCGCTTTTTTAAAAATGTATTGCTCAGCCTAATTAGCAGATCAACCCCAAAGAAGTTCAACAATGACTCACACACACAGAGAAGTGTGTCGAATATGACGCCTCCCAATTCACCGGCATCCCAAGCCTAAAACTGAACGCTAGTGAAGCAACACAGTAACAGTTGGCCAAAAAAAAGTCCTGACCACTTTGAATTATGTTTTACATTTAAACAAACATGAAATAACATAGAATATACAAGTTGTATGTTCTTAATTCAGAAGTAGAACTGTAATTTGACTTTAGAAGTTCAGTTCACAATTGTAGGTTTGCAGCCTCACTTTCTTTCAAGAGTCAAGGATCCTGGTGAAAGAATTTGCATTTAAAGCAAATATTATAATCTTAGTATTCTACTTCATTTATATTCTTGATCAATCACATGCTAATTCAGATCAGGATCAAGAATAGCACATGAAATATGACGAACAACCATTCCTACCTGGCAGTTATCAAAATGAACAGCTACTACAAGGTTTCCACTATAGAGCTTATCTTGGAAGCTCTCTGGGATAACAGGTTCCTGTTCTGGTGGGTAAGTGTGCTTTAACCAGTCCATCCAGGAGAGACCCACAAGCGACTGAATCTTTTCCTCACTGATTCTCCGCATTTTAGCTCGGAAGTCATTCACTTCAGGATCTTGTAAAGCATCGAACTCATGGAGGCCTGAAAGAATTCAAGCAAGGAAAAGGATACATACCTGTACAAATACTGACCATCTATTTACCATCCCACTCAAGCCTTCATTATCTTTAAGTTAAGGTTACATAAGTGGTTTTCTTCAGACATCCCATCCAAAATGGGTGCTCAAAAGTGAGTTGGGTTCTATGTTGTCCTGTACATCAGTGGACTCCCAAAGTTACTTGCATAATTCCCATGCAACCTGGCATGAGAGTTTAGTTTAAACAGCAAGAACCCACACCCCTCTTCAGTACTATTAAATGGAAAAGCCAACCTCACCCGGAGTTCAAGATAGTTTCGAAAGTTTTAAGTCTCTCCTCACAAGAGCAAATGTAGAAAAAGCCCAGCAAACGCATCATAAAGACCATAGAGGGGAAGAAGTGTTTGCAAACTATTTTTTTAATCCCATAGAAAGATGACATCATCTTTTTTATTTTGTTTAAAACTCAAAAAAAGAAGGATAGTGGGACTTTAAACAGATAAATTTGTTCTTGAATTTTCCTTGTGATTAAAGTATTCTACTCAAGTCAAAATGACAAGAGTGAAATTTCAACCAATCCAAGACCAGTAAAATTCTTTCTCCAAAATATGTAAAGAGAGAATATACAGTGGAGAGTCCACACAGTTGTGATTCTTCAGTACTACAGGAAGTATAGGGCCTGCAAGTGTTTGTTTCTTTCTTTTCTCCTGAACTTTGAAGGACATTGTCCAAATGACACAAAGCACTGAACACTTTTTGAGAACAAAACACTAAGTTTAGAAGCTTAGACAAGAACACATTTTTTCCACTGCTGAGGTATAGAATAGGGGCTGCATAAGCAAGGATCTCGCACAGCTATAATAAGCAAAATATTCAATCAAAGAATGTGAATCTCTCAGAATCTGTCAGAATATGTCTGAATGGTTAAACTGGCTAACTGTTTCCATTGTCAGTTTTAACAAATAGGCAGACAGTGTACTGCTGAAATCTAAACAAAACCTGCAGTCTTTATAAAAGACCTAACAATGGTTCATTGTTTTAAAACAAGAGGTATGACCTCACATAACCCTGTCAATCTTGATTGTATAACGAAGCAGAGTAGATTTAAATGCTGAAAATTCTGAAATAACATTAAGAACAAGTTACTGTGAAACTTTTAAAAATAGCTTTTCATTGTTTGCTGAAAATCAGTGCCACAATTGACAGCAAAACCAAGAATCATATTGTTAACCAGCTCAGAAACCACGTATAACAAAACCATAATAACTTCGAGTTCATTCTGTGTATCCAGTTTGCTGTTAGGTTGTTTATGGTAACACTTCTCAGGGACTATGCTTTCCTTCACTTAGTAATAATATTATAGATTTTTCCCTCATCTAGTAAGATAAAATTTGCTCTTGACTGATGTAGCAATACAATAGAGTGCTGAAATACAACACAGAAAGTAGATTTAAACAATTCTCAAATGTTTCATCTTCAGTGTTTAAATTCTTCTAAACTATATCAATGTTAGTTTGAGAAAAGGAAATTCTGTCAAAGAAATACTTTTTTTTTTTTTTTTTTTAATTTTTTCACTGTTACCTGCTCAGTTAAGACCCTCATACAGAACAAAGTTTACCCTCATTTTTCAAAAAAATTAAATGTAATTACCTTTGCCTATAAGGACACCTATTTTGGAATCCAATTTTTCCCCCGGGTCACAATTCCTTGTAACTAGTTTAAGGACAGGAAGAAAGGGTCTAACATCACAAAGTCTCCGTGTTTCATCCTCTAATTCTTCATGTACGGCAGTCTGGTTCACACATGAGAACATGTAAGAGTCAATCTCCATGAGGAGATGAAAGAGTGGATAGGCATGGGCCTGCTTCCATAACAGCTGCAAAGAAAATAAATAAATAAATAAATAAAACAAAACAAGAAAGCACAGACATCTCTTATGGCACTGAAGGTAACACTAATTTCCATTTATGTTCCCAAAAGAACACGAGAGTAACACGTTTGCTCACTTGGTTCATTTTTATCCCTCTATATCATTATATACTTATACGCTGCCTGGTTTGTAGTCTCTATCTTGAGGTTATTTTTAAGCAGTAACTTGTGTGCATAAATATCCCAGGGTAAAAACCACACAGGGACAAGTACTATGAGGTGATGAGAAGGGCAGCACTAACCCTCATCCTGACGCTTATCCTGGGACTGACCCAATATAGTCCTATTTGCAGTAAAGTTGCAGGACCATGGCTGTCACTACAGCAACAAAGCACTTACTGGTTTTGGAGCCAGATGTTCTTGACACTGACCAGTAAACTGTCACTCCCCTCCATCCATTCCGAGAGTTTCCTATCAAAATCCTTCTCCTTCAAGACACATCTATACTTTCTTTTTCCAGCAATTATTGTAATATATGGACAGCAAGTTCCCACTATGGAACTAATTTCTGAATAAAAAATTCCTTGTTGTCTGGAGAAGATTAAAGTAAATTTATTTGTAAGTTACTGGCAGGACACTAGAACATGCAAGTAGCCCTCAGAACACTAAATAATGCTTTACTGAACTGAATACTTAAGTAGGAGATTACACCTTACCTAACACCAACATATCAAACACAAAACATATCAAATCCTCATCAGAAATCAAAATTGGAAGTAAAAAGAGCTCTCCCAACCCAAACACTACTCAAACCTTTATCTGTGAGAATATTTTTGTCCTAATTTTAAAAGTTCACATTTTATGGATTTGTTTCTGAAACTTATTTTGAAACGGGAACTGCAGGATCAATAATGCAATGGCAAAAATCTCTCCTCAAACAATTGAAGCCGAACTGAACTCCTTTTGCCAAACTGAAGGTATGTGATACCTGCATATATTTCATAGATTTGTACAATGAATTCTGCCTTCCAGAAATGTATTCCAGTATAATTTGCCTAGCTAAGTGACAGCTGAATCCAGCAACCACCTTCGCTGTAGAACAAAAATTCCAACTTCAAAGACATCAAAAGACTAAATCTATTATTGCCTCTGTGTTCTTCTCCAATAGGTAATTATATCGATTAAAAATATGTACCTTTTCTTTTCCCCTCCCTCCTGAGTTGTCTAACTTCAATTTCCAGCTACTAGTACTTACTATATCCCTTAATGATTGCAAAATTTAAAAAGCCACGAAATCCCTGAAACTGACTTCCACTGAAAGCAGCCATTTGTCATCACCCAAAGTACTGGTCTGGTAGAACTACACTGCCTGCAGAAATGAAAAATTCTTCAGTCCTCAAACAATTGTCTATTTTTCTTCTTTTAATCTTAACAGTTCCACGTACAAAATAAACAAGACAAAAATTTGCTTTCAAGTCCTCCATTTTTACATCCAAGGGCTCACAAATTAGAGCTTGTAACAGCAACGTGGTGGGAGCAAAGGTACTAATCCAGTATGCCGTCAAAGTCTTCATTATTGTTTGTTTTCAAATACAGTGATTTCCATGAAAGACCTCTATAGTTACAATCAACATTCCTTTTCTTTGAAAAACAGTTAAATATCAACAGTACCTGTTTATAGCATGTTAAGTTTCATTGTGCCATAATCATCAAGAAAACCAGCTTAGTTCAAGTCCCTTGTTGTTGTCACTTACGTGTTTTTTAAATTCTTTATTAGTTGAAATCACTACCAGCTACCCACCAAATAACCTGTAGTTGCCCAAGTTACCCTTTTACTAAAACAACAATGACATTTTTCCAGTCAGAATTATTTCAAGTATTTGAATATAGCAAAATTTCAGGTGGCACTCTCATTTCTTCTACAATACCAAGTGGTTCACTGCAATTAAAAAAACCAAACAAACATCAAACAAAACCAAACAAAAACAAAAACAAAAAAACCCAAACAAAATAAAAAATAATAAAAAAAAAAAAACCAACAACCAACGCAAAACCAACCAAACAGCCAAAAAACTCCAGTGTCCAGAAAGTTTCAAATCAGGAATACAATTAATCACTTGAAGCTACTACAGATACAAAGGAAATAATTTCTCTAAACAAATGAATACCGTCAGACTGAACAGGAATGAAAAACAATGTATTTATTTACCAGGCAATACAATGGAATGAGAAATCACATTTTATTTTCTTTTAGAAGTTTATTACGCTTAAGGAGCGGATTACGTGGTATTGTAATTCATCCACTACCTAACTCCACAGTAACTTGTCTAAATGCCCTCACATGGCCATTATCTGATGACGAGGTCAGTAGATTATTCTTTAATATATGTGGTTATTTCCTTACACGTTCCCCTTCCTTTCATTTGAGTATTCCTCCACTTTTTAAGTGATGCCCTAACAAGGCACTTGTACAAAACCTTTAAGAAGTAGTATACATAGTTTTTAAAGTATCCATCTTTGATGTCAATCAAAAGAAGCAGGAACACAATCTGTGTCTTCTATATTAAAAATCAAATTAGACGTAGCGCCTCCTGTTTGCACACTAATGTAGCCATACAGTATTAATAAACAGCTATTAGAATAGTCTCTGCTGAAGCGTAACCATGAGCAAGAAGTAATTTTTCGGAACGTTGCCATCTGCCCAAGAACATTCCAAACCCCCAGACACACATACATCTTTATTAATCAATCTCCTACACATATGCCTTCCATACATTATTTTTTACGCCTACTGAAATTCATTACTTGATTTGCCAAAAGGCACATAAAAATCAGAAACAGCACTCATACCAAATATGTTAACTTTTAAGTTAATTGACCATTTGGTATTACCTGTTTAATATGAGATATGGTGGCATCTCGAGGGACATCCAGGTTGATGTAGATTCCAGTGGGCAGCAGGAAGTCCACAGATATTGAGCCATCCGCACCAATCTGTGAATCCACTGCCCAGATGTCAAGGATGTCTGTCACGGCAGGAGGCATTATGAAATCTCAATAATATCATAACCGCATGGCCTTAGGGGGACAAAAAAAAAATTAAATTCAGTATACTTAACCTTCTATAATTAGACACACATTTTAAAGCTTTTGGATAGTTTACATAAGTCTGCTTGTACAGCTTAGCTTGCAAGTCTGGGGTCTCAAATGCCAGGATTGCAAACACACCAGCACAGTTTTACTTATTAATTCCATTTAGTATAATAAAAGCACTTGCCTGGTAAAGCACTATTGTTGAGATGTTTATATCATTAAGACAAAGTAATAAGTGAAAAAACAAACTAATTAGAGGTTAGCAAAAACAAAGTTAGAAATTAATTTTAGATTTTCTCTAAAACTATTTACCTGCATAAAATACGATCAAAGCAAATTTCTTGAATGAAGCACGGCAATATTTAATATGAAAACACATGATCAATTTCATAATTTTTTTTGCGAATTTCCTGGTAGTTGTCCACAAATGTGGCCAGAGTGACATATTCAACTTGAAAGTCTAGATTAATAGCAGGAAGATCATCTTTAACTCTATTAGAAAGTGACATTTTCCTCTAAAGACATTTATCTCAATTCGTTTTCACCCTTAAAGAAAGATCACCTCCTATGAATTCAATGCACTGTGTAAACTACATCCACTGCAGGGCAGGGGAAAACCCTTTGTGTGATCTACTTCAACTCACTACAACAGCTTCCTGACTACTTGTCCTTTGTATTTCAAGACATTTTTATTTACTCTTAATGCTACCGCGAGTTTTTCTGACCTTCCAATTCTTATCTTTTGATTACCTCTCTCTAAAGATGTGTTTTCCCTTCCATCACTATTCACTGCAGTATTTACCTTCCTCTCCATGCAGAAAACGCTCTTCGGCTGACAAAGGGACGTGTAAAACACTAATAGTGTAAAACACTATTATAAAGTACTTCTCCAATAAAGATGAGTTACCTCTACAACTTTCTAATTCTTGCTGGACATCATGAGATGTGGGAAATGACCATTTATTAAAAATGTAAGCCAGAATGTCCGACTTCACTACTATTACAGCTTTCCACTACTTTTGTCACTCCTTCCCTTCTCTGAAATCAGGCCTGTTCTGCTCAACTGAAGGTACTTCCCCTATTCCAGCACCAGTAAAAAAGGCAGCATGTAACCAATACACTGGGTTGCTGTTCCTTATACATCACAGAGCAAGTTCAAACAAGCTCATTGGCAAATGAAACAAAAAAAAAATTAGCACAACAGTCTTCTGAAATCCAGTCACTACTGCCGACTACATTGCTAAAAATTCTGTTTGACACAGAATATTTTCCTCTCTGTTAAGATACTAGGCAAAATCCAGTATCAAAAGGTCATCCTTTCTACAGGTGCTAAACATACAGAGGTATACCTAGATACAGTACAAGACTACTTAAATTGGTAATGCGATTGAATTACAGATAATTATCATGCTGTGCAAACTTTCCAAAGTGTATACACATTTATGAATACAGTTTTTCAATCCCAAAGCACTTTTTTCCCCAAAACAAGCAACCAGGAAATCTTTTTACAACACACTATAGTTGAACCCACCACAAAACTCCAGGAGACTAACTACATCGTAACAAAGGTGTTTCGTCCCCCTCCCTCTCCAGCTTAACTTCTTTATAAAACAGCTTAGTTTGGGAAAAGTCACACTACCAGCTACTAAATGCAAACTTTACAATATGCAGGTGTTAATGCTTCATTTATAGAAACTTGAAGTTGTTTGATACTCCAGTTTCACAGAAATTAAACTCTTTAAAATTGGTAGGCTTTTAAAGCAAACAACTCACTGTCATATGCATCATTCTCCTTAACTGACAAGAGAAACGCAAAAGTGGTACTTCAGAAAGTGTCTTTGTAATCCTTTGCTTGATGCAGACAGCTTGCAATGAGATAAATAAATAAGCAAGCAAGCATAGAGGAAAGCTGAATGTGCCTACAATGGATAACAGAATATGTCAGCAGCACAAAAATCAGCAACTACAGAAGCATAACTTTATATTGACAAACAAGCTATTAATATTTTGTACATATCATAAAGGGCTGTTCAGTGCTAACTTTTACTGATCATCATTGTTAAAACAAATACTATCATTTAAATCACCACTTTAAAATATTCACAGTCCATCTCTGCCTTATTCCTCAGTACTGGTCTCTATCCCTCCAGTTACTGTAAATATATAAACTTGCTCACCCGACATTTGGAAAAATTCTGGAGATTAAAATCTCCAGCAGAGAAAGATAGTTGACTAGAAAGAACTGAAGTCTCCTAAAGCTTACCAGTCACCAGTGGAATAGCAAGTCCAAAATCCACATGGAGCCCAGCTAAACACCCAAAGCAGTTATTTGGTCCCAGAGCTGTGCTACTATCAGCTTGCCAGTTCAAAGCTGCCTTAGATACGAGACAACACGCTTAAATCTCACCTCTAACTGCCATGTAAATACACCGAATAACAAGACCCAAGTCATTTCAAAACCTTTCCGTTCAGCCTTAGCAAAGTTGTGAGGACCCACACAAGCATGACCGTCGTCAACACATCTTGTTACCACACTAAATATGTGGATCACTTAGTACTTTGCTTGTACTGGATAAAAATACAGTACAATTTTCGTTAAAGGTAACAAAAAATCTCTACCTTTCAGAAAGCATAAACAATAAGGAAAAATTTTTTCCCTCCATAGAAGCAACAATTAGGGAGCTCCTATCATCATCATTATCAAATAATAATTTATCATGATCAGGTCCTCACACCACCACCCCCAATCCACTACATTGCATCAGATAGAATCAAAACAAAAAGAATTGGAGGTGAGCATGTAGACCTGGTGAAAATAACAAATATGTATGAAAATATTTTATCTTAATTATCAGATCTTTACAAAACCATTCCTTCACTCATCAATCGGTGTGGAAAGTTTAGCACAGTGTCTGATCTCTTGTCTAAAGGAAAGAAATAAAATTTAACCCCAACATGCAACACAGACTACACTATAAGAATAACACAGCATCTACCCAAAAACTCTACAGAAAATGCAGAGTTCCTCATTATCAACCAGTATATCTTTAACAAGCTACTATTTAAATGGGATATTATTTCTTTTCCTCCATCCAGCTACTTCTACCCATAAAATCTTGGCTGCAACTTTGTTGTAACTGACAACAGTAGTCACTGAAAAATCATTTGAATTATCTGAAACTAAAAATTTTTCATACTTGCACACACACAGAGTGTATTTTCAGTTATTTTCAATGGTCGTCATGGTAAAATAAAGTGGTATTGCCATTATAAAGCATTACTTTAATAGGTATAATCTGTTCTATGTAGTTATTTTGTTCATAGTTTCTATTTTAATTCAGCATAAGATCTTCTCTATTTTCACCTTCTTTCAGATGTTTTCCCACAACATTTGCAATTGTTGAAAGCACTTTAGTGCATCAAGAGTTTAAAATGTTCAAAGAGGCAAGACTTAAAAATGCTGTTACATACCCTACAACCTAGACCTCACAATGCACAGCATTATAAAGTTCTTGTAAGACACTTGTTTAGAATTATGGGCTTCCAACACAGACATCAGGATCTTTTAAAATTCCATTTCCATTTTCAACTAAAAAGGGAAAAGTAATCTTCAGGCCAACCTGAGCATGCTGGGAAGGTACTTGCTTTCAGGCACTTACTTAATATTTCCTTCCTCAAGGAAGCAGATTAGTGTCTTCTACAGTAAGCACCCAGTTTCCACCAGTAGCTGACAACACAGGAGTCAAGAGAGAACATGTATTTATACTGAGAATAAAACTGATTGCCAACATAACAGAGCTGTGAGAATGAGTCATGGGCCAAACTGTAAAACATGCGGTGGCACTAGTGACTAACTAACAATATCATATCTAGTAACTGAAACAAAGGCAGAAAGCCATCTGGATTGGAAGCAATAACATCAGAAACATTTTAAACAACTTCCAGCTAAAGGAAAACAACAATAATCAAAATAATAATAAAAAGCTACTTCAGGCTGTTAACCTCATAGCTATTCCTGCCTACTGTCATGGTAAAAACAACTTCTCATACAACAGAAAAAAGTAATTAAAACAGTACTTAATCTTGGCTACTCAAGTATCTACTCAATGATTATTTGAATTTAATAGCAGTAAAGCCCAATACTAAATGCTTTGGTAAGTCACATGTGCATAGTATTGATAGACAGCATTGAAATCTTCCCATGTAAAGCAAAAATTTTCTCTGAACTTTGACTTAGGCATTTCAGGTTTGTACATATGTGTATATATGTATATAAACACACATACACTCTCTTAATCTCAAACCCGCTCGATTTATATTTTAATATACCAGCAGTTCTGAAAGAGCTGCTTAGACTAATGGAAAGAAATGGAACACAGATGAGTAAAACATCTGCAGAATGAGAAAGAAAATTTAACACTCACCTTTGTATTTATTTAATGTACACAAACAACAAGCCCTACAACAAGATTTCTCAAACCAAGACAACTTCCTGCAATTTTTCTATCTATACATCTGTACATCTGGTATGTGCACCAAGCACTAAGACTGAAGTGGACCAACTATCACCACGAACTATCAACATCCAGGTTGTAAGCCTCCACACTGTACCATAAGATGGCTTTCATAATCCACTCCAAGTGAAACTGTGCTACACAAGGTCAGGCTCCTTGACAGCTGGAGGGGAATGCCTGCATCCTCCCTTCTGCTCTCCCTACTCTGGGCTGCCCAGTTCTGTCCCCCTGCCTTGCACCTCCTTCAGCACTTGTCAAGTCTCCTCATGAACCTTTCAGCTTATCATCCAGGTGGAATCAGTGAGTAATTTTCTTTCACATTATTTAGTTGTATCAAACACAGAGTGCCAGAGTCTCTGAAAGGAGAAGAATGGAATCAGGATCTTCTCTTTTCATCAGCAGCGAGCCTCCAGATCGCATCATACTGCTTCAGGTAAC